GAGGTGGGAGGGGTGGTGATGGGGGGTGAAACAATGGCATGGGGGTTTGTTAGTGGGGTTTTGAGGGGGAGAGTGGTAGTTGGGGTTGTGGTGGTGGGTGGGGGTCGGTCGTGGTGGTGGTGGTGCCAGTCAGGGGGTGGTGATGGTGGGGGTGAGAATGATGGTTTGGGGGGAGGGTGCGGGAGTGGTAGTTGGGGTTGTGGTGGTTGGGTGTGGGGGTCGGTGGTGGTGGTGGGGTGGGGGGTCGGTGTGGTGTGGTGGGGGGGGGTGAGGTCACGGGTGGTGATGGGGGGTGAGAAATGATGGTAATGGGGAGGGAGTAGTAGTTTGGGGTTGTGGTGGTGGGGTGGGGGGGTCCGGTTGTGGGAGGGGTGGGGGTGGTCATGGTCGTGGGAGGGGTGGTGATGGTGGGGGTGAGAATGATGGTGGGGGGGGGGGACTGGTAGTTGTGGTGACGGGGTGGTGAGGTATGATCGTGGGGGGGGGGGATGAGAATGAAAATAGTGGGGGGGGGGAGTTGGTTTTGGTAATGATGCGGGGGTGGTGGAGGGTGATGACGTTGGTGAGTGTAATTTTACTGGTGGTGTCTGGATGGTAGTGGTGATGACAATTGTGATAGTGATGATGATGGTGATGATGATGGTGGGTGATGGTGATGATGAATGGTGGTGATGGTGAATGATAATGGATAGTGATGGTGATGACGATGATAGTGAATGGTGATGATGATGCTGGTGATGGTGATAATGATGGTGGTGATGGCGATGATGGAGTGGTGAGGGGGTGTTGTCTTATGGTGGTATGATGTGTGGGTGTGTGACATTGCATTTATGTTATTTATTTTATCGTTGAAACTCACGTGATGAATGGCAATAATGATGATGATGATGATGATGCTGTTGAGAATGATAACCGTTAATAATTTTATGAATAATGATGAATAATAATAACAGTAAATAGTAGTAATAATTACAAAATAATAACAATAATAATAATAATAATGATAACAACAACACATACAACAACAATAATAATAAATAATAATAATAATAAATAACTAATAATGACAATAAATAATAATAATAATATGATAATAATAATGATAATAATAATAATAAAATATAATAATGATAATGAAATAATAATAATGATAATAATAATAATGATAGGAGTAATGGGACCAATAATAAAATAATAATAATATTAATAATAACAGAGATAATACGATAATAATGACAGACCAATAACAGTAATAATAACGACCACAAGCATTAACAACTAATAACCTCAATAACCATAATAACAACAAAATCACCCTCATTATAATCTACAAACGGATCCCCTCATCAAATCCATTCACGTGAAACCCAAGCGGGCAAATATGACCCCTATTGACGGGCCATTCATGAAGCGCCACGCTGAGATTTATGAATGGGCTCGATTACGTCACTGGTCACGTGTCACCTTCTTTACTCCAGCGCGGTCGGATACGGCTAAGTTCTCGGGGTAAGGGGCGATCAGCTGTTGCCACACCTCCCGGATGATCGGCTGCCTCGCGTTCTGGGGGGGAGAGAGAAGAGGGGGGGAGGGGGTAGAGGGAGGTGAGGAAGGGAGGGAGGTAGAAGGGGAGGGGAGGAGGGAGGGAGAGAGGAAGGGGAGGGGAGGAGAGGAAGGAGAGAGGGAGGGAGGGAGGGAGAGAGAGAGAAGAGTAGAGAGAGAGAGAGAGAGAGAGAGAGAGAGAGAGAGAGAGAGAGAGAGAGAGAGAGAGAGAGAGAGAGAGAGAGAGAGAGAGAGAGAGAGAGAGAGAGAGAGAGAGAATACAGAGTGAGAAAGAGATAGAGAGAGAAAGGAGGGAAAGTGAGTGGAGAAATACAGAGACAGAGAAAGACAGAGAGAGAGACAAAGAAACAGCTAACTCCAGTGACATTAAAGCCGACCTTTATAAATATTCATAACAATCCTTCAATACTGCCCTAATTAATCTCAGACTTCTAATCAGTACTTCATTTTCTCATCAGATTAACGTCGATTAAGAGAGACAGAAGAGAGAGAGAGAGAGAGAGAGAGAGAGAGAGAGAGAGAGAGAGAGAGAGAGAGAGAGAAGAGAAGAGAAGAGAAGAGAGAGAGAGAGAGAAGAGAAGAGAAGAGAGAAGGAGAGAGAGAGAGAGAGAGAGAAGAGAAGAGAGAGAAGAGAAGAGAGAGAGAGAAGAGAGAGAGGAAGAGAGAGAGAGAGAGAGAGAGAGAGAGAGAGAGAGAGAGAGAGAGAGAGAGAGAGAGAGAGAGAGAGAGAGAGAGAGAGAGAAGAGAGAGAGAGAGAGAGAGAGAGAAGAGAGAGAGAGAGAAGAGAAGAGAAGAGAAGAGAAGAGAAGAGAAGAGAAGAGAGAGAAGAGAAGAGAAGAGAAGAGAAGAGAAGAGAAGAGAAGAGAAGAGAAGAGAGAAGAGAGAGAGAGAAGAGAGAGAGAGAGAGAGAGAGAAGAGAGAGAAGAGAGAGAGAGAGAGA